CGGCTGTGGGCGGCACCTGATGGCTGCCGTGCTTCGGTGTAACTTTCTGAGCCCCGTATTAAAAAAAAACGGGAGCGGGCATGCTCCTGGTCCGGTAGTCTTACTGCTCCGATTCAAACGATCTAACGGCTTCGGCTCAGCTTCTCCAGCGTCGGGTTGCCGTGCCTTGCACCCCTGTGCGTCTGCTCACACACTGACTGCTTCATTTCTGTATTTTTTAGCAGCCAATCTCGTCCTTTGCAGGCAGAGCTGCTGTGCCGGGGGACTGAACGATGCTGGCCTTACAATAGAAGGAGCAAAACTGGGAGAAGAGGGAAACGGCTGTGTTAAAATAAACTTAATTTTTTGCGAAGCAAGTCTTGGAAGCTTTCTGTTAGCACAAAGAAGGAGAGTTGCTTTTTTACGCATGCTACCTCTATAAGAGAGGTACTGCGGTTATTGTTACAAGCTGCACCATCATAAACATGGATAGCCAGTTGTTCCTTTAAAAACTTAATTGTCGTGACCTAACGTGTTGCCATGTGCCTGTAGCTTGTTCCAGCTGCAGAAACATAAATACGTTGTTTCAAACTATCTTAAAGCGCAGTTAAAATGAACAAATTGCACTTGGTGGTTGGTCAGCGGAGAAGGTGTACAAATGTCACTTGTTAGTAAAACTTACTTGAAGAGTATCGATTTGGTTATGTATAGTAGCAATGTATCTGAAGTGTAACTGCACAAGCTGTGCCACTCCTGGTTCTGTGCTGTCTTAGTGCAACTTGGCATGTCATTCACAGACTTGTGAATGTCATCGTTACCATAAGAACTTGCTGGATAAACTTGGAAGAAAACTTGAAGAAAAACTTTCGTATCAGTTGCATTTAGGTACTATTTGCATTGCGTTGAAGTATCCTAAAACAAATGCTGTCCAGAAGTTGTATGTAAACATGGATTCAATCTAATCAGAAATTAATTAAAAACGTTTCAGTTGTTTTGGTTTTGGGTTTTTTCACAAACCGATGTTTGTGAAAATTTAAGTTCTTACAAATGAACAAATGTCTCGTGTTTGCTGTACTAAATTTAGTTTACTAACATGTAAGTAGAGTTTCTAACAATTATTTGGAAAAAAATAATTTAGTATAACTTATATTTTCTCTCTTGTTTAAAGAGCAAAACTTCTACAATGAGTAAACGTAAGTCAAAGGAGAGCAGTGGAACAAATGGAGAATGCATTTCACAGGTTAGTAACAATTTATTAGCTGACTGTTTTTAAGTTATGAAACCTTTCCATTCTATAGTTTTTTACTAGACCAGTTAAAAAGGCATGTACAGATGCATGATGTGATTTCTAGGGCTGTGAATAGCTTTTGTACTTATGTTCTGTATTTCATCTTCTCAACTCATGTTTGCTTGCTTCAAGCGTTATAGTAATGACCTGCTTTTTGGAGTCTTAATATAAATGGTAAAGGATGGTTTTGTGCTTTTACAGCCGTTTGTGGCAACAGATTTGCATAAATCTATTTTTAGCTAAATGGATTCTTTATCTTCCAGTTGTAGGGTGAATCAGAATCTAGGGGACTTTTTTTTTTTAACAGCCTAGGTTAGGCAAGACAGCAGTTGCTGAATCAGTTTTCAGGTTTGGGTTTTTTTTTTAAGCTTTGTTCTTCTGTTTTCTCAAAGTGACTACTTAAAAACTGTGATGCATCTTGTGAATTACCTCTGGTTCAGTGATTTCTTGTATTTTAATCTCTTTCCTTCATTTACCTATAAAATCCCCTTATGGGAGGCAAACCTTTTCATTTTCAAACCTTGTGAATGGACAATGCTGACTGTTCAGATAGGTTGTTCATTAAAACAGAATAAATCTGGAAATTAAATCCAGAAGACGTTAGTTGAAGAAAAAGTAAATGAAAAATCAGGTAGACAAGTACAGCTTGTATTAAAAAGAAATCCATTTCATAAAGTGGACTTATTAGCAAAGTAGATGTCTGTTGTTCTTCTATCCATTATTTAGGCATGCTGAGGAGTACTTCACAACGATGCATCCACATGCATTTGTCCTTAAACCAAACACCTAGAGCTGATGGTGATAATTCCATCCTAAACTATAAATTATCTCACTGTTAGAAGATGACATATTTTCAAGATACTAAAAGCCTGTTAGTAATGAGCCCCAGGACGGGTTAGATAAAACAGGCATGAATGAGTAAGGTGAGAGAAACGCAAAACACTTGTGGTACAGTATTGCCTCAGTGTATGTTTACCAGTAATTTTTCATAATTTCTTAGGATTCAGCAGAAATGATGAAGGACTCAGTTAAGAGGTGCAATGGGAGAATGTAGAGAAAAACCATATGGGGGAAGATGAGCCAACTCAGACTGAGAGAATGGAAAAGCAATGACACGGGTGTGCATGATAATGGTATTTTAGTTTTTAGGTCAAAGGGACATTCACTTAGACTGAAAGGCAAGGTGCGCTCAAATGTGTTTTTGAGGGAAAACGACTTCATTAACAGTTTGCAGTTTAATCTCTGAAATTCTTTGACAATGAGCCCTTAAATTGGACACCAAGAGCTATAAAAAGATGGAGTGTGTAGGTATGTTAGAATAGCTTAAATGAGGGCTAGGGAGAGAAGCAATAGTATGGAGTCCTGTAAATTCTTAAAAATTGGGATTGTCCAATTTGCATGCTGCTATTCAAGTGGTAGGAAGAAATCTGCAATGATGCTGGAGGTTGTCTGTTCAGGAATTGAAGGTACAATTTTAAGTAACAGTTCTTAACATGGAAAACAGAGGTCAGTGCAGACATATATATCTAAAGCTATCGCAAAAAATATGTCCAAATAATGAAAATAACTACTCACTGTGTAGTTTGAAGGACTTAAGAACTTGATCTAGCAATCAGGCTGGATAGACTTCTTTCCATCCTTTGTAAGCAATATATTAGCTTCAGTTTCGTATTAGTTCCTGCCCCCCCATCCAAACCTTTAGGAACAAAGTATCTGAACTGACTCTTCAAAGAAACTGTAAATTTGATACTTTCTAACATTTGAATGTGGTAGGCTGTGACGTTGTTGCGCGTGGTGCAAAAAGTGTATTCATTAGGATGAGGATTTGGGGGAAAACTACATGGGTTAATTTTATTTAATTTTATTTAAGTCAGCTGGGAATGGTTTTCTTGCCTGTAGAACTATGAATTAGATGAACTACTGAGGTAATTTTGGTGATAAGTATACCAGCCATTTGGGGGTGAAGGAAAGAAATAGTAGGGGAAGGGACCAAAGACACACATTGCTATCATTTAACTGAATTTTCTCATTTCTGCTACAAAAGCCTGTTAAATATTCTGCCTGCTGCAACTTTATTCTTACTTTCAAAACCCATCTGTGATTGATGACATTAAAATTCACATGTTACAGAGTATTTGTAACACCACAGAAACGTGCCTATTTTAGTATTATTGCATTGTGGTAATTACATTATTGGTACATAATGGTGTTTGAAGCACCAAGCATTCTTTCTGTCTTGTGTTATATCCGTAGGTGCAAAAAATTTTACGTGAAAGATTTTGTCACCATTATGCTACTGGAAAACTGTTTGGGATTGAAAATCAGTACAGGTGAGTGAGCAGACTCAAATACTCAGTAATTTCTACTTTAACCACAGTAGAAAAATAATCAGGTGAAGTCAGAATTTCCTGCTACCTCTGTTTTTATAAATTATACAGGCTTAAATGACTTGCAGTGCAATGCTTCTAAAAATTGTTTGCCTCAGATTTTAAAAGTTTTTAAAAGCTTGCTGTTTTGTCAGGATCTGAGTTTTGGATTTCTTGTCCTTGTTTCAAACCTGTAATTCCTGAAATTTTTGAGCCTGAAAGATACTTTCAGTGCATATTATAAGGCTGTTTTTAGTGACCTGACCAAGCAAAAAGTTAAATTCTCTTGTTGTGACTCTTTATTTTACTTCAGATTTTCTCCTGTTTATTGGTAAGCAGTGTTAAAAGTAAATCTTAAACCTTGGGTGCCAACATCATGTTTCTTGAAGTAGAGACCCTTACAAGTAGCTTAAAAAAAATCTTCTTCTTGGGGTCATTCAGATGCAGAGGTTAAAGTTAGGAAGAAGGGGCCTATTGTGGCAATAATACTAATCGTTTTACAGATGCAGGCCAAATTCTGAAAATAACAAACATGTATCTAAAGAACTTGTTTTAAATACTCAGTTTTTCCAAGAGTAACTTTATGCAAGTTGAGTCACCTGATGTGAGCATTAGTTTCCTTTCTCTTACAGGAAGGAAAATAACACTTCTGTTATGAAGAAAAAGTGTAGTGCAACATACATGCAGAGCTCACATAGACACGTCTATGATTGTTGTGAGAAAATGTATTTCTGTGATGTTAGCATTCTACAAAACAAGCCTCCTCTCTTCATATTGGAATTCTGAAAAACAGTTTGCAGACTGTCCACTACTTCATATACCGTTGTTGATGAATTATACTGGAGAGAAAACACAATGACCTTCCCAGCTCTTCGTTTTTCTTTCCCAAGATGTATTAGGGTTCTTGGCTATAGTTAGCTCTCAAATAGTGAACAAAACCACAGGCATTTGCTAGAGCTGTTCCATGATGACTCTATCACTCCTTTAGAAGCGATTACATGATGTCAATATGATGTGGAAAAAAAAAAAGCAGATGTATGCATTTGTAAACATTTGGGAATTGGATGTGTTGGTAGTTTTTGTAAGCGCTTTAAATACGGTACTAGGTGATGAGTCTATCTGAAGATAACTTGGCGTTGTTCTTTGTTCCTTGGGTAGGAATAGAATATGAACTTAAGTCCAATATTGCTGTTACCATTCACAAGCTTTGAATGCCTAAATGTAGCATATAATTGGTTTCATGAAGATTGTAAAAATGAATATATTCTACTAGATTACTAATTTTTACTGGTGTCAAGGTTTCCCTTCAATATGCTTGCCAGACTTCCTTTTTTGTGAACCATAGTGGTAGCACAGAAAGCAATCTTTTTTCTTTAAAGAAAGAAATAATTATTGAAGTCTGTCCTTTCATGGTGGAGAATTGTAGAACTTTATGAATTAGTGATACTCCCGACTTCTGCATGTTTTAATATTTTAAAATATTTTAAGAGATCTGATCACTCAGCTTTTTGTACTTAATTGTATTGCATTTTGCATGCCCTGAGTGTTGGCTCTGAGAGCAAGTTGAAATGTATCAAGTTTTCTTTTATGTTTTAAAGACTCTTTGAATTTTCCATAGTTTCAGTGAACGTTGTCTGGTTTGAAGTTTTTAACCTATTGCTGTTGTCAATGCAGACATCTGCTGGAACTGCTGAAACGAACTACAGTTCATGGAGAAAGTAATTCTGCCCTCATTATTGGACCCCGAGGATCAGGAAAGACTGTGGTATAAACATGTATTAAAAGTTTATACAAGGTCAAATTAAGCATAAGGTAGATAACCTCACTGAAGTCCTGGGACCTTTTGGAGCTAATTTTTCATCTCTGCCTGTTTTTAAAGAGAGAGTTGCTAATTGTTTACATACAATTTCAAAACATTCTGGGACTTCTTGTGAGCTAATTCTGTTGCATAACAATATGGAGACATTGGCTTCCTAACAGTCTTCTGAAATTTTTCAAATGCTGAGTTCCTAGCAATATTGTAAAATAGAATAGCTTCATGTGCTGCTGACAAAAACATGTACCTGTCCATCCTCACGATGACTTGCAGAAGTATGCCCAGTTTTGGAATTCTTTGCTTGCCTTTACCAGGTGTAGGCTACAGGTACCCAAAACGTGTAAAATACAACATAATTTTATCAGAACAAGTTGTGTTTGTTGTTCAGTGATCTGACAACGTCATAGATTCTGTCTTCTTTCAGCATTTCTCCCATTACAATTCCGTGATGGTTCTTGCCGCAGCGTTCATCTTTGCAATTACAGCCACGATGTGCCTACTTTTTAAAAGTTACCCTGCTACTGCTATTTGACTTCTCATGTAAAAATGACTGAAAAGGTATCCAAAAAACTGTAAAAGGAGTAGATTAAGGGGTGGATTTCTACATAGCTCTTTATGTGTAGAGAATGGTAAGGTATCTTAATCCTGTTTTAAACGTGTCGGAGAATATTGTTACCTAAATTGCTAGGAGGTAGAATATTGTGTGGTAGTTCTAGTTTACAAGTGTAGGTTTTGTATTTTAAAGGAACTCTTTTTAGTTGAGGCATGTGAAGGAATGACATCTAACTTAAGTGTTATATACTTCAATATTATGCAAACACTTCAGTCTTTTATGTTTACATGGGTATATAATGTGATAAATAGGTTGGCTGTTACTGCAAAAATTATTGAAGATTGAAAAATTGTAAAAATTACTTTGGAAGTCTTCCCCAGTGCTAAAGCAAGTGGCCTTTAAGCTCTTAAGTACACTTAAATAGAAATAAATTAATAGATGGTAAACATATCCACAATACAGCTGACACTTAATTGTTCTGCCAGTTTTTTAGTAGCTTTCTTCTTTTGCATTACAAAAAGTCAGTATTGTTACCTTCTTCTGTTACCCGTGACACTTCAGAAGAAGTATAATTTCCAAAGTACTATGAGGTGAGGGGGAAGGAGTTGATAAACCAGTGGCAAGTAAGGATTCTTCCACCTACGTACTTCCTGCTAGTCTTCAACTGGAGTTTATTTTTCCTTTTTTAGATTTATGGATTTGTAAGTAAGCAACAAGCACTCTAAGTGCAGAAAGTAGTGTTTAGATTTTCTTGTATTTGCGATGTAGACTTTCAAGGTATGATTGAGATTGCTGGATTAAGGGGCTAGCCAGAAAGGATAGCATCTGCTTATTGGGCATAAAATTGAGAAACGGAGGGAATAAGCTTTTTTTGTTCCAAGTGTCCATATAGTAGATGTTGGCACTGGTAGCAGGAGTCTTAACCGTATCTGCTTCTAAATACAATATAAATAGAAAAGTATAGAAGAGGTCTATACTGCAAGCAAATTGGAGTAAACGTGAAAGTTTAAAAAAACCCCACAACAGAACAACCCCTCAAACACCACCTGCCCCCCATCACCAAAACTCAAACTATTTTTATTATTTAACTAAATTTAAATTTTCTTCCAAACCTTTTACATGAGGATAGTAAAGATGAAAATTTGTGATCCTTCCTGCCAGAATATAAGTAAGCAAATCGCACATGAGAAATGAATGATTTTCTTATTCTACATCAAGTGAAAGATGTTAGTTCTCAAAAAAGACTGCTGGAGACAATGAAATTGTATGCGTGTATATAAGTATATACGTATGTATACATACATGTGTATATGGGAGTTGCAAATTCGCAGCTGAGGAAGAAAAAGCAAAGAAGTAGCAAGTGAATGAAAAGTTTACATGTCATCTACTTAGATGTATTTTAATACAAGTTCCATATGACACTTATGACTTTTATCAAGAACAAGTTCTTGATGGACTGTAAATTTGGGACCCCTAAGTTTTATAAGCAGTAGTTGATGTAATTGTGTGCAACTTAATTTTGCTTCTTGTTTCCTAACTTCAAGAGGAAAAGAATAAGCATAGTGTCTTTAAAGATTTGAAGCAAAGATTTTTGTTCTACAGCATCTTAATGAAGCAATGGAGACAAATACTATACTAACCCAAGAGACAAATTCTCTCACATCTCAGGCTTATAAAGCTTTTTTTGATTAAGACAAAAGCCCTAGATATTACCCTAAAAATTGAGTTACTAAAATATTGGAGTTATTTTTATATTTCTTCCCCTACTAATTCAGCAGAATGAACAAATGTAATTGCTACAGTGACGATACTGAACACAAAGTTGTCATTTTAGTGTTTTAGTCTTGAAAATACTCAAAAACATTATTACCTCATGAAACTGCATATATTGTTTCCTATCTGATAATATCCATTTGTACACTTTTCTTACTGTTAATAGATTAATCTTATAAAGAAATTACTTTTTTTTTTTCCCTAGTTACTAAATCGTGTCTTAAAAGAGCTCAAGGAAATGAAACAAGCTAGAGAGAACCTCTTGGAAGTTCATCTGAATGGCAAGTAACAGAGCATTATTCAGATGGTTTTTTATATTCAGTTGCTATATCTTGTATGTACTGAACACAAATTTTGGTTTCAGCAATTGTAATCTACCCTCACTTACGGACACATTTGTCTGTGAGCTCCAAAATGCCTTTCTTTGTATCTCTCTGTATAAAGAGAACTTTTGTGCTTTTAATGACTTTTCAAAATGTTAGAAATTGGTTCAGTTGTGACTGAATTGTTCTAAGTAACTTCTTATTACATACGGGAAATTGCTGTCTACTATTAATTTATAAAAAGGCTTGGGTTTGTAAGGCTGGAAATGGAGAGAAGCCTCTGGGTAAGTTTCTAGTGGTTGTAGACATGGCCTCTTGGAGTGATGGAGAACTGCCAGTTCTTCATGAAAAAATGTTTTCTTTCAGGGCTTCTGCAGACTAATGATAAAGTGGCACTGAAGGAGATCACCAGACAGTTGCACCTGGAAAATGTGGTTGGGGATAAAGTTTTTGTAAGTACCAGCTTTATTATACCCTCCGCTTATGTCCCTCAAAAATCCTTGCCTAGAAAACTACCTTTATAGAATGCAGCTTGTTGGGACTGACAGGGCTTTGAGAGTTCATTAGCAAAATTGCAATGGGCTGGCTCAATTGTCTCAAAGCTTTCTCTTTTAAAATATTTAGTAATTGATGGCAGTAGTGAACTGTGGCAGCATTTACCTTTGAAGACCCTGGTTTACAAATGCTTCAGGCATGCCAACAATTACTTGTGGTCTACACAAGTGCTAAATTTTGCTGGTTGGGCAATATTAATGCATCCTGATACTTTTTCAACAAACATCAACTTTGACTTAGAGAAGGAGGAAGAATGGAAAGGCTCTCTTAACATTTACTTCAAGCCTCTAAATGAAAGAAATATTAAGCATTCCAAAGAGACTTTGTTCAGAGGGGTAGAGTCTTTTGGAAACATCAGCTGCAACATTTCAAGACAAAGAGTAAGCAACCAAAAAGCAGTATCTCTAGTATATTTGCAACCTTTTCTAGTTCATAGGGAGGTCTATCCAGGCTTCCTAGAGCTCTCACTTTGCATAGAATTTCTATTGAAATTTTTACTTCTATTAACCTTTTCCCAAAGATGAGAAACTCATTTACATTAGTACTAAAGTCAGTAATGAAGAAAATAACTGAAGTGCTTCAGGTTACGTTTCACTCATTTGAGTGGGAAATAACTTGGACTAGTGATCTGACCTACCCTGGCTGCTGCCTGTTATTCAGTGAGTGTTCTTGAGAGGCCACCTTCTGGTACGACAGAAGGTCCTTCTGAGCATCGTCTCCTTCTTTGCTCCCAGATAGGGCCTTTGAGATTGGCAGCGTTTACATAGTTGTGAGTTGTGTGTAATACTGATCCAAGTGGCTAAAGCAGTGGGGAGTGAGAGGGGAAAAAGGTGAAATCTCAGTAGCTGAAGTTTATTTTCATCAGTTGCATTTGGAAAGCTAAACAGGTAAGATGTTACTACTTAAGAGAAACCAGAGAACTAGGTTAGAGGCAACGTGGAATACAAGATGAAGCACAGACTGTAGTTACTAGGCTTTATTATCTTTTGGAAATGCTTGCTTCTTAGGCTTTTCTTTTGGTTTCTTATTTATCCCAAATGATTTCAGATGCAGAGAATGGAAAAACCTTTTTGGTGGTGAGCTAAAATTTTCCCAAATACAGCTGCAGTAGTAAAAGGAAATAGGAAATACTGAATTTCAGCATAGCCATTTGAGTGAGTTGTCTTTTCAACAGAGAACTAGAACAACTTTTCAAGATCAACAGTTCCACTACCAAAAATGCTGGAGGCAAAACTGGACTTAAATGTGCTTAATTCTCCTGTAATTTTCCCCATTCAGTTACTGTGGAGTACTACTTCAAAGTCTTAACCATCTAATCCCTTCAGTTGCACACAGGCACAGAAACATACTGATTTGCAGGAATGTCCTTACTTCTCTCCATAGCAACTTTCCCTTTCTCAGCTTCTGCAACTCACATTCAGAGAGTAAATTGGCTTTTCTGCCATCTTTGATAGGGCTTGTGGTCTTCAGTTATAATTGTTGCCCATCTCACAACTTGCGTGCTTCAGGGTGTGTAAATGTGCATAGAACTGAAGTGGGATGGTCAAAGCTATTAATTGTTTTCTGTCATGAATGCTTTCATCATGATAGATGCTTTCATCTATCTAATAAGGTTGCAAAGTAAAAAACTGCATAATGATCATTCTCAGTGGAACACGTTAGGTGGCAGTTTCTGCATGTGTATAGATGGAAAATGTGTATATCATAGCTATTTATAAGGAAAGATGAAGCTAGTTGTAAATTTAGCTTGCTGTAGACATTCTTATGATTGCTAATTTTCGCCTGTCTGAGGGAATTAGTTTGGGGTTTTCAGACTGGAAAAAAGTGGATCAATGTGGAGTTCACTATCAGTTTTCTTGTCCTGAAGAGGTTATGATTATACAGCATGAAGTAATGTTGTAAATTTTCAAAGCAAGTTTTTAGAAGGAAATGGCCTTCATTACGGCTATGCCAAAATTGTGTAACTACATCAAGTTCAGAGAATGACATTGAAAATCTCTTGTGAAACCTTTTTCTTCCCTGTGTAGGGCAGTTTTGCTGAAAACCTTGCGTTCCTTCTTGAAGCTTTAAGGAAAGGTAAACACTAGTAGCCCTTGTCTGAAAGAGAGTATGTATATGTTTGTCACTTGACTGAAAAGTTAGCATATATTTTTTTTTCATCTACTTCTACAAATGGTATGAAGAAACCTAGCCCAAGAAGGTGTCATGGCTACAAAATAATGTAAGAAATACATAATACTAACCAAATGTATGCCTAACATAACTGATGCTGTAAAGATTTGCATGTGATGGTCAGCTAAGAAGGACAGATTCTTTCATCCAGATTGAAGCTGTTAAAAATAACAGTGTGTTTTTTTAATTTGACATGGAAGTCTGTCTTCGCTTGCAACCAGAAATGATGCTTGGCAGAATACTACAAAACCTTATCAATTTTTTAGTGCATTTTTCTTTTTACTATTGTAGCAGTACATAGGTGAAAGAAGGGCTTAATGAAAAGCTAAAAGAAAATATGTAAATTGTTAAAACCAGAATTTAAAAATTGAATTTAAAAATTAAAAAATTTCATTTAAAAATGAAAGCTGTAGAGATGGAAGTCTGATGATGAAGTTAGCGTACTAACTTTTAAAATTGCTGTTTCAGGAGATCGAACTAGCAGTTGTCCAGTCTTGTTTATACTGGATGAATTTGACTTGTTTGTTCATCACAAGAACCAGACACTGCTCTATAACCTCTTTGATATATCCCAGTCAGCACAGACTCCCGTAACAGTTATTGGACTTACGTGTAGACAGGTAAGATATTGTGCTTTCTCATTCGAAGTTTTAAAGATACTTTTGTCTTAATTAGAATGTTTTCTTCTCTCCTGGAACCTTACTTAATTTACTAAGAGACTTTTCTCATTTATCCATATTTCTGACTCTTGCATTGGGAAGTGGGGAGGGATAAAAAAAAAATACAATTTGTGCTGAGAGCAAACTTAGATGACCAAAAAACTGCAAAGAGCAGCCATATTTATCCATGTGGCTGTTTTATAGTATACTGTTGTTTGCTCTTTGGAGAAGCTCCTGGGCATTTCAGTTTCTTGGTTGACAGTCGGTAAGAACAGACTTCTGTTAACCTACAGCATTCAAATCATTGTCCTCAGAACAATGGAATTTTTTAAGCAAACACTTCAGTAGGGCACTTTTGCTGCAATGTTGGCATGTTCAAAATGGGTTTAGGATTCATGTTAAACTTGCTGGTGATTGTTACAATGACATTGTAGGGAACTGTGGACAGATTACATGTATACTGAGACATAATTACTGGGTAACACTATGGAAGCTGACACGTTATAAAAATATGTTTTTCTCAATAAACCGGATTGGTGGTGAAGGTAGCTGGGTTATGACAAGAAGAATAGTAATTAAAATTAATCTTTCATCAAAGCCTGAATCTGAGGTTGATTTGGTTTGGGTGATACTTAGCTGGGCAAATTTCTGGAAGATAATATAATAGTTAATAGTTGATTTAGTAAACCCCAGTCATTTCTTTTGCTTCATTACTGGCCTGAGTCTGGTATCCTCATCACCCATTACATACAACCCCATGTTGCTCTGCTTTTGAATGAATTAAGGTAGAGTCTTCAGAGGCTGTACCTTGGTTATGGTGATAGCTGTTGCTTCTGAGGGTTTTTTTTAAATCACTGGTCCCTGTTGCATGTGACTTCTAAATTGAAAGGGGTCTTTATATTTTGCGCTGTTGGCTCTCTATTTACTCTTAGCGCTTTCTTTTTGGTGAGGAATTTCAGTATTAAAGCCTTTTTTTAGTGCAAGTAAAACCACCAAAACCAACATGTAATAAACCCTTAAAAACAAAAAGGCCCACCCAAAATTCCTAGAAACCAGGAGTGTAATCATTCTGTCCCAGTATAAAGTAGGGGAATGGCACTATGTTCCTCCACATGGATGAATCCCACAGCTCGTTTCTGACACCAGTCTATTGCTATGTGTTCTGAGAAGTGAGCTTTTCTCTATTATCTTCAACCAAGAACTTTGATGGCAGACTTGGTTAGTTCTGTGTGACAATCTTAGATAAATATTGGCTCTTAAATTGTTTTTGGGGTTTTTTTTGTTAAGCTGGATTCAGTCTGACAAAAGGCATGTGAACTGACAGCTGCCAGCCTACGTATCTACTAAACAGACAACTTGTCTAGAGCCATGATAGGCCGAAACATCTTGAATGCAGATTTAAGTAACTGAAATATTTACATAATCTATGGAGAAATTTTGCTGGGTATCCTAGCAACTAATTATCCTGTATGATGTAGTGCATCACATGATTTGGGTAAATGGCTAGTTGTTAGGCATTTCAAGGCACATCAATTACAATAATCAGCAAAGGTCTTGTTAGAACATTTTAAGCCTGAGAATTTAATATTTTTTTTTTAAATAAATTAAATGTTTAATTTGGTGTTTTCTCTTGTAGTTTTTACTGTAGCAAAGAATGTACTAAATGCATCTGCTTTTTTAATTATTATTTTTACTTTTTTTAACAAGGATATCCTGGAGCTCTTGGAGAAGAGAGTAAAATCAAGGTTCTCTCATCGACAGATGTATTTGATGAATTCCTTTGATTTTAAACAATACATTAGGATATTTAAGGAACAGCTTTCTCTTCCCGCTGAATTTCCTGATGAGTCTTTTGCACAAAAATGGAATAGTAATGTTCGGGTATTTAAAGCTCTTTATATTTGTTTTTAGTAAAACTTCTAAAGTAAGACTAGTTTATAAATGTAAAGCCTTTACCTAAGATTAGTATTTCCTTTCACTATTTGAGTTATGGAATAAATCAAATTGTCATAGAGAATCTTTGCTTATTGACATTTGGAGATAAAATTAGAAGTGTCACAAAAAAGAACAGAAAGTTACGGTTAGACATGGAGTATTATATTGTCAAGCATAAGCTGAGCTCTTTCTGAAAGTTAGCTAACCAGTATTTTTTCAGGTGAGTATGAAGTTATTTCCTGAGATTATTAAAATATCACCTAAAAATTTTTTTTAGCACCTCTCTGAGGATAAAACTGTGCAAGACATGCTGCAGAACCTTTTTCATTACACGAAAGATCTGCGCTCGCTTAACTTGCTGTTGGTATGTATTTGGATATGTATGTAGTATCTTCTTGATTTACAATAATCGCTAAACAACACTTGTGTTTTTCAAGCCAGATATCTGAGCTTTACACAACATCTTTTTATTCATCAGGCTTTTGACAGTAGTGGTTTCTTGTGTGCTTTATCAGTCCATGCTTTATTAATGCTTTATTAATGAATTCAAGTAGTTCCAGTTTCTGTAGAAGTTTCATTGTGAGGATGTCCTCTTTAATTCAAATGGGGGTGAGGTTTTGGTTTTTCAAAGAGCTTTTGCCAAGTCTTTCCATTTATAAAACAAAACTGTAGGTGAAATACTTTCAAAATATTTTTCCTTTCTGAGATTCTTTTTGGTTGCTGGTGAATCTTGAAAACTGCTTGTACTGAAACATGATTTTTCTACCTTAAGTCTGCTGTTGCAGCCAAATATTCTTCCTCTTTCAGTAAATCTGGCAGTATACTAAACCTGCTGCTCTTCATCAATGTCTGTCTTCAAAGATCAATAATTTTGGTGCCAGTTTTTTATTGTGGTCTCTTACTGTATCCTTGCATCATCTTACGCTTTCCACTTTGTCCCCCTCCTGACACTGTGTGTGTTCCTGGCCTGTTTTGTGAGCTGCTCTTGAGTAACTCTCTGTGTAGGTATGTGCATTTTCGACACAAAAGCACATGGTGCTGTGTTTGGAATAACTGTCACTTAGAGCTAAAATCTTTGTTTTGTTGTTGTCATACCTCTTTCCACTCCTTCTTCCGAAAATGTTGCTCTTGCTACCTACGTCCTGAGCACAGATTATTTGCCTTTATGGACTAGTTGCTCCAAGATACCTCTTCGGTAAGAACGTTCCCTTGCATCTACAGCCTTGTTATTCACACAGAGGAAATGCTTTTGTTTTCTTTTATCACTTCCAATTTCTTCTTATGCAGAGTATCAGATAAAGTCACTTTATGAACTGCATGATTAGGAATCACTTTGTTTTCCAGAGCTGGTTTCATATATGGAGCAATTCAGGTAGCCTAAATGCTGTCCTGAATTCATATGTTACTGTGATGCTAGTCCAGGAAATGTGATCTTAATCTTTTAAATCTTGAGGTTCTGGAAGCTTGAGGCTACTAATCCTTAGAAATACTGAGATGGAAGTTAATTCTGATCTTCTGGCATTAAGGGCCTGAGGAAGCTTTCAGAATTCTATTTGGTAGCCTCAGTCTTTCACAGTTATCTTAGGAGGGAGAAGGAAGGCCCTCCTCACTGTCTGGAGAAAAATTAGACTGTTGCCTCCCTATTAACTCTGAAAGAAGACTTCTGTATTCAGAAAGTAGGAGGTATTGCCGACAGTGACCTTCCTCCTATCACAGCAAATGAGCTGAAGCTTAATGTGTGGTCAAGTTCTCTTGGAGGGCGTCTCTATATTTCAGTCTGCCTCCCTGACTTCTGTTTTTGACATAGTTAATATGAACGCGATAACATTCATCACAGAAGATAAGTAACACTTAGTTAACTATCTTAAAATATCTATGCGCTTCTGTCAGCGTGAAAAGCCCACTGACTATACCTGCTTATCTTGTGCTGTGCAAATATTCAGATATTAACCTTCAGCTCTGTGGCTGGCTGGCCTTGGACTCTTCCGTGCTGACAGCTTTTCCCACCACTGGGTTTACAGCCTCTCTGAAAAGCAGATCATGGACTTCCTGCACTAGTTCTGAGACACAGAGCATGACCAGAGTCCACTTTTGGGGAGTCCTCTGTTTATGAGAGTTTGTTACAAGATTGCAGATTATTTCTACTTTAGGGGCACCCAGTTCTGTCTCTGTGGCTTGAATAAATGCTAGAAAAAACAGCTGGTGGCTATCTGAATAGCCTCCCTTTGAGCTCCAGCTGAGGCTGAAGTTCCTAATTGTTTTCTTCAGCATGTTCTTGAATTTTTCCTTTAGAAAGGGCCTTTTCACTCTGAAGTCATCTTGCTCATAAGAGTATATAATACAGATTCTAGCACTTCAGTAATTCTTTGGTATTGGCTGAAGCATGGATTAATTGCCCTGCAGGATTAATTTTTCTTTAACTTTGTAAATCTGTAGGAGTCTGCTGTCTGAGCTGGTGAGAGAAGCTTTGTGACAGGCAGTGTGGCGGTGGTGAGAATTGGAGCTACTCTTGCTACTTACCTGCTTTTTGGCAGCAAGGACTTGTTTTCAATGAACAGCTAACTTTTAATTATTTTAATTTAATGATTTTTTTAATTAATTTTTTAATTCAGTGCTCCCCATCACCTTGCTTTGTCAGATGAACACATGGGTTTTCAATGGAAATTTAGTATCTGTTTCATGTTGCAGTACCCTAAATGGTATTGTGCAAAACCTTGAACCTCGGAAACCTTGGAAGAATTGAACAAGTTAAGTTTTTTTACCAAAGTAAAATAAGTCATTTTTTGGGTAAGTAGAACTAGATAGCTCATAACTGAGCTGGTAAAATCTAGTTTTGCGTTTGGTCAACGCTGTTTCCCCATGGTTTTTCTCATGCTGGTGACTTCATGCAATCAGCTGCTTGTCTGCCCCTGAACCTGGTAAACCAGAGGGTGCTCCAGGCTCTGTTTGGTGTAGTCACCTGTTACAAGTTTCACTAGCCCTGAAGCAGGGGGGTTAGTGACTTACAAGAGATACTGCTGCATTTCCTCTGCTTCTTTCTGTTTTGCATGTCTGTTTAGTGACTTGGGGCTGTCATTTCTTCACCCTCCCCTTCTTCCCTGTCCAAATTCCCTTTAGCCCTTATAATATAAACCTCATTCCATACCTTTGGAAGTCTGAATGATAACACAGCTTTTTGAGGGTGTTACGCTGACATCTGTAAGGAGAGGAGGAGGACTGGAAAAGACTGGTGATGGATAGCATTGGGCATTCTCAGCAACAGACCTCAACTAAAAGGATGAAATGAACAGGTTTTCATCACGCAGACCTGCAAAAGTAGGAGGTAGTCGCGAAAAGCCATGTTTTTTTCTTTTGAATATTAAACTACAGAGTATCTACAAGGCAGATACTTAAAGCCCCAAAGAGCGAGTGAAGGCTGCTGCTGCGGTCTAAAGGCTTGTGGATAATCAATAGCTTTGGCAGAGTGGTGTCAGAAGAGGTGCGTTAACTATGGATTTATGAGCTTACATTTATTCAGAACTCACTTTTTCTGTGACAGGTAGCTGAAGATATAGAGATTCAAATGGCAACTAAGTGAGACTTGAGCAAATGCTCTGACAGGGTAACTCGTAGTCTGCAAGCGGAGAGGCGCCTTGAGACGCTTTCTTAGCCCTTTCGGTGATGTGAATGCACTGTAGCTCTGTTTAAAATAGTTGTAAGTCATTCTCACAGTGATCGCTGCACTCTGCTAATCCACTGAAATTAATATAAACAAGTTAATGAGTGTTTAAAGCCTCCTCACTAGAGGAGATAAAGTTTTAAGCCTGGAAAACCTTCCTGGGCAAAATGTAGCTACCAGCTATTTACAAGGTTTTCAGTATGAGCCTACTGTGTGTAGGGTTTATTCATTAATGGTTTCAGGAGGTGACTCCAGGGGAAATGTGTTCTTCTGCATTCCATCTCCAAGTAGAAAGTACGTCTGGTAATTAGTAATTAAATGAAAAATGTCTTCTGCTTTATTTTTAGATGCTTGCTGTAAGTAGCGTTACTGTGCATCACCCACTTATCACTGCGTCAGATCTTCATGAGGCAAGCAAGCAGTGTAGAATGGACTCAAAAGCAAATATTGTACATGGTAAAGCTCAGCTTTTTTCCCCCCAGATATTTCTTAGGAGTATGGAATGGGTCTGGTCCCTCCCTGAAATCCGTCTGATGTAAGGGAGACTGTACAGTGCCGTGTCCCCTGTTGGTATGAGCCGCGCAGGGAATACACCTGCCGTCGGAGCCTGCTCTCCACGGATTTGTGCTCATACACGTGCGTGGATGTAACGACGCCAAATAAATGAGTTTTACAGAACAGTTGAGAGAAGTCCTGCGGGGAGCACGGGCGGCGCTCTGCTGCGATGCAGGTACCAGACAGGCTGCAGCGCTAGCCAGGGAAAGCCAGGGAATTTCTTTTGCATTTTGAAGATACATAACACAAATAGGTGAGGCCTACAGCATCTAAAAATAGAGGTATAAAAATAGTATGTGAACTGCTTGCGTTTCTGATATGGTTAAGAAGAGTATTTAGAGCTCTTGTCTTTCCCTCTAGGTTTGTCTGTCCTGGAAATCTGCCTAATTATAGCAATGAAACACTTAAATGATGTTTATGAAGGAGAACCATTTAACTTCCAGATGGTTTACAATGGTGAGAGAAATGCATGAACTTTACAAACACTACATCACTTACTTTCCCCTAAGTAACTTTTTCTTTTTTCCTGTTACTGATACAGAATTTCAGAAGTTCATACAAAGGAAGGCGCATTGCATGTACAACTTCGAGAAGCCAGTTGTCATGAAGGTAAGCCTGAAATGTCATTTATTTTATTGTAAAGTATCTCGTGTTTTCCCTAGTGCACAGATTTGAGTAGTCCCCCCCGATGCTTGGGTTGGCACCAGGGCAGTGGGTTTGAGGAGTGCCTGGCCACTGGCACCCCTCGCCTCCCGCAGCCCCCACCTTTCCCGGGGTGGGGAGCTCCAGGCTGCACCGAGCTGGTGACAGTTACACTTGCAAGAGTTCAGTACCAGCGTGAGCTTTCAAGTGAGCTTAACTGATGGAGGACTTGGGGTTCAGCAAGAATGACTGTATCGGAAATGCATCATTAAGGCTGGAGAAGACCTCCAAGATCATCAAGTCCAACTATCAACTGAACACCCCCTTGCCCACTAAACCACATGTCCCAAAGTGCCACGTCCACACATTTTTTTGAACACCTCCAGTGATGGTGACTCTACCACCTCCCTGGGCAGCCTGTGCCAATGCTTGACCACTCTCTCCGTAAAGAAATGTTTCCTAATATCCAATCTAAACCTCCCCTGGCGCAACTTGAGGCCGTTTCCTCTTGTCCTATCGCTGGTTACTTGGGAGAAGAGAGCAACCACTACGTCACCACAACCCCCTTTCAGGTAGTTGTAGAGAGCGATGAGGGCTCCCCTCAGCCTCCTCTTCTCCAGACTGAACACCCCCAGTTCCCTCAGCTGCTCCTCATCAGACTTGTGCTCCAGACCCCTCCCCAGCTTCGTTGCCCTTCTCTGGAATCTTCAGAGATTCCTTCAGCTTGCTCGTCCACTTCTGTTCAGAAGCGATGTCTCCAAAATTTACTCTTTCCACAAAATGTGTGTTCCTTAATGCAGGTCCCAGTGGTTCTGACTGGTACATGCAATCAATTTGTAGCCTAATGCGGCTGCTTCTGCCTCAGCCAGCTACAGTCTGAGGCGCAAACTGAAAAGTAGTGTTTTGGTCACGAAGCTGACGCTCGCTGGCCTTCTGGGCTCTTGGGCTGTCACTTGGCCAATGCCATTGTGCCAGGCTCTGTTCAAGGGCATCATCCTGGGGCAGGCAGGGGTCACGCAGACACTAAGCTTTCAGTTCATGAACATCACCCAATGACCCACAGTAGTTAGGTGCTCAAAGCTGTCTTGTGGCCTCGCAACTTTTTAAGCCGAGCAGCCTTGGTTTCCGATTCAATGTTGTTTAGTTACGCTTAAACTGGAAATTGCCTAATGCTGTCTGTGCGCTTGTAACAGCCTATTCCAGTCTGGGTCCCTGAATTACACAGTCATTCCCAGTCAGTTACATGTACGCCAGATTTCAAATGCTATTTCTATAAGAAGAAAAGCGAAGGTAAAATAGAACTGGTGTTTAACGTCTGTCTGTTGAGGTCGCACATGAGAGGTTTCTGTCAAAACAGCCTTTCATAGGTCATTCAGAATGAGCAGTACAGCCCAGAAGGATGTTATCTTCCATTTCCTAATTTTTTTTCCTTTTGTTTTTAGGCATTTGAACACTTGCTACAACTGGAATTAGTCAAACCCATAGAAAGACCATCTGTGCGTGCTCAGAGAGAGTACCTCTTAATGAAACTGCTTTTGGACAATAATCAAATCATGGATGCTTTGCAGGCATATCCAAACTGCCCGACAGATGTTAAACAGTGGGCAGCGTCATCACTCAGCTGGTTGTGAACTTTATGGAACTTGCAATATCGCCTTCTACATCAACGCTTTTGAAGTTAACTGTGAACTCTAGAAGATGTAATGTTTGCCCACAGCAGGGTGTTCAAATGAATAAATTTTTGGAAGAAGGTTGCTTTGCTGATCGATTTGGGGTTTTTTTAAAGGAGAATTATACTCCTGTTATCTTCTCATGGCTCTGAATTTGATGAACTCAAATGCTCAGGGAGTTTAGCTCAGGTCCATGCCAACATTTCCCCTGGTACCAGAATTTCTGCTCTGTAGAAATAGCAGCTCTTTGGGGTTTCTCTGTCTCTGACCAAAACTGCTTTAGGTACCGGCTCAGTGGCATGCTGCTGCTGGCCTCGTGCTGTATGCTCTGAGGCACGGATCTGTCTCTTGTGCAATTTAAAGCTCATACTTAGTGTACTATTTCTTTTTCCTCAAATTTGACTTGACATAGAAAATTTACTTAATTTACACTTTTAATAAGAACTAGCTTTAGCTGCTAAGTGGTATTTCTGTGCTGAACAGCCTCACTTACCCAACCTGCCTTCTGCCCAGGTCATTCAGCTGCTCTCCACAGCGAGGAGCGCAGTCCTAGTTAACTTGTCAGGGCGAGAAATGGGCTTTACAGCTGCTCTAGTGAAAGATATGTACAAAAGATACAGAACACATGTGCTTCCAAGCTACAGCTTCCAGATAAAAGTTGTCTTTGCCATAGTACCATGTGCTTCTTTTCAGTCAAAGGGTTACTTTATTTTTCTCTCATTGCTGCTTCATTGAAGATCTTGTCTCTCCACGGGCACGCCAGAAGAGCAGAGCAGTGCTTCGAAAAGTAGCAAAATAAGTGACAGGATTGTGGTAACTTTATGATCTAGTTCCTGTACGTGATGGCTTAGCCAACAGCTGTGATGCTGTGAGGTGGGAACACTATTGCAAAAGTTGTTGCAAGATTTTCTGCAGAAGGACTTATCCAGAAAGCGTGCATTCAGCCACACAAATCTCATCATGTTTGGGTGTAGTTCATGTAATCCAAGGTGGTCTTTTAAAATGGGGAGGCAGGGGGTTACCCAGGGTGGGAGAGGGGTGGTTGATGGGTGACACCTGTGTGGCCGTTGATGCAGGGTGGGGTTTAGGCTGCAGACTAAGGGCTTGCCCTGGCTCATGCCCATGGGCCTGTCCTCTGGGGTCAGATGGATGGGGAGAGGCAGCAGTGACTGAGAGAGGATGCTTTTCCCAGGGGGGTGGAAAATGGAGGCTGGAATATTGCATCATTTCAGTCACCAGTCAGTGAACCTTCCCTGCCCCAGCCCGTTGTGAACTGAACTGCTGCATTCTGAGCTCCTTGCGATAAGTAGTAAGTCTTCAACCCACATCTCCAGTCTATACTGGAAATAAGATAAATGCCTAGTTTTACGGAAGACTTGCAGCTCTGGCTTCAGTATTGTATCACCTCTACACAAACAAACTGTAGCAGCAATTTAAAAAATCATCTCCTTTTAACAGAACAGCAGTTGCACCACTGCTTTTTCTCTTTTTTTTTTCCTTTGCCCTGCAGCTTGAGAATGACTGCAGCTGTAGAAACAGCCACATGTCTCTTCTCCCACAGTGATACCGTTTGAAAAAAGGCATATGCATGTCAGAGTAGTCACATTTTTTTATTTTAACTTTTGGGGGGGAATAGGGGAGAAAGAGTATACATTTTTATTTGTACAATATTTAACAATCACTTTATTGAGGGCAGGGGGGGAGGGTTGGTTTGTTTTTAGTACTTGCAGAAAAACAGCAAGCACCTTTTGACAGTAGTACAACAACCTGTGCCCAAAACGCTGACAAATACAAAGAGTAAAGTCAAAATAATTGCTTACCAAAATCTTGAGAGGTAACGAATAGTACATGGACTGAAACAGCATTAAAAAAAATAAAAGGAAAAAAGAAAAGTACTGCTGGTTGAGTATCTGAGGTAAATGATGTTCCATCAAGGATGCTACTTGAATGGTTTTGCCCATGAAGGTATATTGCAGCTTTCTGCGTTTTGTACCAAGTGTTCCTAATAAAAGTAATGTGTTAAAAAAGGTTTAAAAAAAGAAGCTGGAAACAGAGCAAACTGCTACCCCTCTTTCTTCTGTCGAATGCTAATATGAACAGGAAACATCTTATTACTGTCTGGGTAAAAGTTAGTTAGCACACTGAGAGCTGTATGGGAAAGCTACACCTGCTTTTTAAAATCTCAAGCAGAAGGTTCCAAGCAGTGGATGTCAGCCCTTGTGGTGGTATTTCAGGATACTGCTGGGAAAGACTGCGCTAGTTCAACAGCTCCAACAAGTGCGATGCATGGGCTGCGCTCTGAAACGCCCCAGTACACGTAGCTGCGAGGACAAAGTAATGCAGGAGATGATACCGAAGTGTCTTGCCCTCCAACACAACTTAAGAAGTAAGTATCAGTCCTGCGGCAGATCCGCAGTCATTGTTTCGGCAGCCTCAGGCTGAAAGTAAGTTGAGCGTGAGGGGCTGGCTGCTCCTCACGAGCCAGGGGACAGGGTGACCCTCTGAAGCTCACCCCCATGCGCCGTGACAGGGTACGCAGTGCCAAAATGGCTCACTAGCATCAGCCCTACTGAATGCTGCCCACACCAGCACTGGCAAAGCACTGCTGGCTCAGGCAGCAACTTCCTTCTTCTCAACTTCTCCATTTAATGCTCTAGGAGCAAAGGAAAAATGCACATTGCAAGGCCCTGCGAGAGCAGCTCTGGGGATGCTCTTACCCCTTTGAAAGTGTTTATGCTATGAACATCCTTTTCACAGGGACACTAAGTTACACCGTTAAATTTAAACACTTGGGGTCAGCCAAAGGCAGTTTTGAAATACAAGGGTAAGTGATCTCCATCTTCCTGACATGAGTGCCCTGTGTTGTCTGCATGGTCCCCACCACATTGCAGGTTCTGGCAGCAGTTTAAAGCGTAATGCACAGATGATGCATGTCCTCTACATGACCAGTTTTTGCATCAGATCTTCTGTTACACCATCTGTATTGGCTCCATTTTTGCTACTAAACAGATTAAAATTTATGGAGAGCAAAGAGGTCTTCAGCGATTCCTATTTGTTCAGAACTCAGCAGCTAGGTTTGGGTCCTGCGGTGCATGTAATGTCATGTCCCTGGGTTAAAAATGGAAGCGTCAATCAAAGAAGCAGCCCCAAATCCATTTCTTTCTTTTTCTGGCCCAGCTGCCCACCACAGGGTTGTACCCTACAGTACCAGTGGCACTTCAGGGTTCTTCCGGCCACCTGTGAGCCATAGGCACACAGGTGAGGAGCAGCAAGCCAGCCAGCACTGGGTGGCATATCAGACATGGGCAGCACTGCTCAACCCATCTCCCCCTCCCTGCCACAGGCAAGTTGACCTAAGTCTTGTTTAGCCCTAATGTCTCTCTTACCATTCCCAGAGTTCATGTCCACATGGAACACTAAGAGTATCTGGTGGCAGTAGACATCAATTTTCCAGATCACATTCACAGTGAGCTCCAAATCACAACATTAAAAGCTTCTTTCAAAAGACACTGAATGCATGGTATGGAAACAGAGACAACAGCGATGAAACACACAGCACGCTGTTGTCAGTTCTGGACTCTAAGAGGTTTGTAAAATTTATTTTCCTTGGAAGTTTGTATAAGGGATCAAATATATGGCATGAAGCAGTACTTTGGAGAAGCACTTTGGCACCTACCTACCAGTCACTTCATCATTTAAGTGTAAGGCATTCCTAAACTCAAAAAGAACATTGGAGTTGCAAAAGCAATTTCAACATTTTTCCTTATTTTTTGAGTATCTGTGCTACGGCCATTGGTATTCGTTACCTTTAACTAGTCCTTGCATATTTTCAGTTGTAAGCCTATCTAAAATATCCCTGAAATTTGTAAGCATTTATAATCCAAAATCTGTGGCTAGAATTTTTTGTATGATTCTAGGATACCCCTACGTGCCACAGCCATGAAGTAGTACTCTTGGTAAGATGGCACCAAGCTTTAAGGAGAGTGAAGTTGCAAATCTTGAAGCAGGGCATAAGGAATTTGGGGTAACTGAGCTTCCTGAGGTGATCCTGAAACAGTGATACAGAACCCACTGCATACTGTTTAGTGGAACAGAAAACACACTAGGCAGACCTTGTCACAAACATAAATAGGAAAAAGACTTTTTTAAAAAAGAACAAAGAATTCAGAGCTTTCCAGTGTCACAGCTCACAGAAAATTAAAAAAAAGTCATGCTTAAGTTTTCATATATTCCTCAGACACAGCAAACCTAAATAGTATTCAGTTAAATAAATGTATGAGATACTCTGGGAAATGGAGGTAAGAGAAAAGCTTTAAACTAAAACAAGGAAGAAAAATTTCGTTTCAATAAACAGCACTTTCTTTTTTATACACAACAAGCTAGTACAAGGAAAGGCTAAAAACACTGCTTTAGGAATGGCCATTTACTGTTGGCATGAAGCATAGCTTACCCTTTTTAAATAACACAGTGAATTTGAAATACATCATTTACAAAACATGGATCAATTTATTATTCAAATTTTGTTAGTGTTGTCAATCTCATAATTTAGCAGAGGTGGAACTGAGGTATACCTTGTTGAGGGAGGTTAAGTAATACTTGGAAGCCTCTTTGCTATATCCCACTTGATTACTTTTGTTTATGTACACTGAACAGCAGCACACTAAACATTCACAAGCTGTGTCATATTGGCATTACAATAGTCATTTTTATAAACAACAGCAAATGCAATAAAAACAAGTTACCCTTTTTTTAAATCTGAAATGAAATGTTTGATTTAAAAAAAAATAACAGTAGTTCATTTAAGGAATTAGTCTCTTCTGACAGGTATTAAGAAATCTGATGTCAGTTTTTAAAACGCTTGATTAGCCAGTACAGGTCCATGTTCTTCATTTAAGTTCCTTAACAGCACGTTATCATTTCTCAGTCACGTGTCCTTCAGGTGTAAGCAGGGAATGCAAAAAGTCTCATGGATCCATGTTTGGGAGGAGGAAGGGGAAAATAAAGGAAAAACACCTCTTGATGATGTTCCGGAGAGACTTACCATTCTTTTCACACAGAAAACAGCAATGATGTAAGCAGTCCCGTTAGCTTTAGCAGCTCCAGTGAAGAGTCCTGGTGGCCAGTTACGTGACCAGTGCAACTATCATAGACTGGATTCTTTGGGAGGAAAGTCAACATTTGTCACCATTGTGACCACAGTCACAATGTCCTCTGTTGTTATAATGTTAGTTAATTTTTGCATCTGAATAATCCGTTCTTCTACACAACCCGCTGACAACCTGGCTTCTGCATCGTGATCCCAGCATTCTTCTATCGTTTCACAAAGCATCGCCATTCCCTGCGAGCAAAGAAAGCAGAAAAAACCCCAGTATGCACAGTTAGTAGCAGGTTTTATGGAGGTGGGGTTGCCCAGCAATTCAAATAGCAAATTGCATTTTAAGGTACACCTGCTGAATTTTAACCCTTGCATCAACCAGGAAGCTATGCCATATTTGTTTTGAAACCTAGCAGGTCGTGTGGGGCCTTACATCTTACTTATTTCACACTATCTAAAGAATATACACAACAGCAAGGCAAATCCTGGTGAAACACCAGACAATACTGTAGTCTGCTGGTAAGTCATCATGGTATTTGAAAAGACCTCACACTAAGAGAGGTTGAGCTCTTCCGTGATCAAATGCAACTTCAACGAAAAAAAAAAATCAAACAGTACAAAAGGGGATTTATGGCTGACAGCAATTAACTTTTCTCCAAAGTAACACCGAGCTAATGCAGCAATATGCTAATTACAAGGAGCAGATGGTAACGTACACTCATTTTTCTTTGCAGACAGTGTAATCTATTGTTTATAACCACCCATTTTTTTAAAAAGAAGCACTAGGACTAAGCAGTGGCATTACTGCAAGTCTCCAGCCATAAAGCAGGTCAGGAAAGCACACCATTCCTCCCAAACTGACCCCAGAAATTTCTCATGTGACACTCCTTACCCTATGTTATTACGTTGTTTGTAGCATTCCAATAGTAAATCAGGACTGTTATTTCTTAAATGATTTAAGGATTCTTATTATGCTTAAAAGAAAGGCTTATTTTTAACATGTGCATTGAAAAGTAACTCTCAAGAATCTCTTCTTTCACCAAAAAACTGAAACACTCGCTTTCAAATCACTCAGACGAGAGAATACTTTAAGATTTGCAACATATTAGTTTACAGCCCATTTAATTCTTACCAGAATTATTATACTTAAAATTCTTCCTAAAAGACACTATTATGAACATTATTAATACAGGATTAATGAAATTTGAAAGTCAGATCATGACAGAACTTTGAAGAACTTGGCGCAATGTTTTTGCCAACTTGCGGAATGTTTTTGCCAACTTACAGAATGTTTTTGCCAACACTCTCTTAGAACAGGTCTCTTCTTTTTATGAACTACAACTTCCTGCATGTCTTCAAGGGAGGGATGCTGGCCAATTTCTTCTTCAAATGGCAACATGTACTCATCTACTGGACCTATAGATAAAAAACAAGAAATTAAACCACCAATTTTGCTTTCATTTTTTAAAGGGGTGGGGGAAGGAAGACTGGTGTCTTGGAAATGTAGAAACATAGAATCAGAGAATCACTAAGGTTGGAGAAGACCTCCAAGATCAAGTCCAACCATCAACCCAACACCCCCATGCCCACTAAACCATGTCCGAAAGTGCCACGTCCACACGTTTTTTTGAACACTTCCAGAGATGGTGACTCCACCACTTCCCTGGGCAGCCTGTGCCAATGCTTGACCACTCTCTCAGAGAAATTTTTCCTAGTATCTAGTCTAAACCTCTCCTGGCACAACTTGAGGCTGTTTCCTCTCATCCTATCACGGGTTACTTGGGAGAAGAGACCAACACCCACCTCACCATAACCCCTTTTCAGGTAGCTGTAGAGAGTGATAAGGTCTCCCCCTCAGCCTCCTCATCTCCAGAGCGAAAAAACCCAGTTCCCTCAGCCGCTCCTCATCAGACTTGTGCTCCAGTAGTCCATAACCAGAATCTTATGGATCAGTTGACTTCCTGTTGCCTTGAACAGCTCACGCTATGACATGTTAGCAGCAAACTGTGACTAAGACTTCAATTAACCAGCAGTGGTGTTTTCAGGAGCTACACGCATTTGCCCACCCGCACGTGGCAGCCAAGCGCAGCAACCTAAAGCTTCAAAATGCAAGGGCGGATGTAGGCTCTCAGACCCACCGCTTCTCCCCAACCTCCTCCAACAAACCGTTAACTTTGGTACGATAAATCACCCTCCTCCTTTCAGCTTTGCTGTCTCGGTATCCCATTACCAAGCAGGCCACCGGTGAATGTTTTCAATACCCCTCACACTGCAGCAGACAAGCTTGGGATAGCAACTGCTGCATCCCTCTCTGCATGTTACGCCTGTCCTCCTCCGATCCATACGGCCCAGGACAAAAGTACCTATGTTAAAGGCTAAGCGTAATACCTGTCCTTAACAGAATCAGAGGGACAAGCTTTATGTGCTGAACTATAGATTACATAGCGATAGATTAGGTAATCGTAACTTACTGTAATACATGTTTTGTGCTCTCAGATCAAGTCTGAAAAAAGGAGGAAGGGGAGGACAGAAGTGAACAGTGTGGTACAGATGAGTCCAGGCAAAACGGACCAGAAACCCACCCCCCCACGTTTGCAGAATGAAAGGCAGCTGCGGTGAGTGTAGGGCTACACAAAGCTGTGGTTCAGGAAGGCTGCTTTCCTTCACTGATGTCTCCTTTGCTTTCCGGAGTAATCACCACACCTGCCAGAGAGACCTACAACACACTTCTAAGATTCAGGTACGTATGTTTTATAGTACACCAAGACACTAAGAATCAACAGAGAACATGGGGAGTCCTCAGAGACTTGCGCAAGATTGCATCGATCCTGTTAGTAAACAGCTTAACATTTTAAAAGGGTAAAACCTCTCCGGTGGCTTCCACTCCATGAGGAACATCTGAAGCAGAAAAGCACTAGGTGGCCACGTGCTGGTCTGCTGAGATCTCCAATACATTCTCGCTTTTTATATCGGTATCGGTCAGCTGCGCTGGGCTCTCGCAGGAAAGCTTTCTGACAGGTGAACACCACTAGCTCAAGTGAAACCATCGTATTTATTTAGTTGAATTTAGCCACTTTAAAGACTGTACCTAAAATGCAACTTTCTCCCAAACCTTGTTGAGCCCTGTCTTTTGTCTTGTTCTTGATTAATCCTGACTTATTCTGGCCACCCAAAAAAGATCGCCATTGACAAAATTTAAAGAATAGTACTCATATTTGAAATCAGGTATCTGAGATCTTTTCCTGATAGCTTAAAAAGTGGATCCAACAGTTTGCTTTGAGGAAAACAACCGTGATGGACCCATAGCTAACCCATAAAGTATCAGCTGCAGATTTTTCAGACGTTACTGTATCTCCAATCTCTAAGCTACCAACAATTAATCAGAATTTCTGACATCTATGAGCTGAACTAATGTTACATTAGTGACAACAAGGAGAAAGAAAGGGTCAAGAAGCCCTGAACATATATGGCAGAGTCTCACTCTGGCACCCACGGCTAAGCCAGAAACACACTCTTCTATGCCTCAGTGCAGAAAACTGAGTTCCTGATGCAGGGATGAGCAGTTCACCATGACTCAAGACGAGCCAAGGTGGTGTCCAGCACACGCTTTTAAGTGGTTAGAAAAATATTGACTGCATCAATGCCCTTTGTAATGAAATATATGTTGACTTATGAAAATTATTCCTGTCTTTCAGTCTTGTATTCCCTTACTCTGTTGGGAACAGATCTCTGACATTAGTAAGCGTCTACGCATATCTTCCACAGGCAACACTAAAAAGCAGGTCGTTGTCCAGATGCTGAGGTGTACAGCAGGAGACATCAATTCCTCAGCAAATGCTGGCGAGATCTCTTTGTTACCAAGATTAATCTAATCTGAGCTTTTGTTTATGAAGAGAAACAGTACTTTTAAGATAAACTGATTGGTACTAAGACTGTCAGGCCAACCTCAGAAGAAATCAAACATACTAGGTTAGGAGTTCCACAGTAATTCTCTCTCCCTTTCTGTGACCAGGAGAAGAAATACAACAGGTATCCATGTATCAGAAAACTTTTACCTGGGATGCCAAATACTGAAGAGACTAAATTATAAAGTGACTACATGATGCCGGTGTTTCATTCATCTCCTCACAAGACTACAGCCCTTATTAAATTCTATTACATATCTATAACCTACCTTCCAATTTCTTGCTTTAAATACACCTCTCACAAATTACATTAAGTATTTCCATAAATCAAATATGTTGCTTACCATCTGAGGCAGTACAGCGTGATGCCAATTCCCAGAGGACTAATCCCATGGCATACATATCTATTCTCAAAAACGCATCCCTTTGGAAGTTTATAGCACCTTCTAGGACCTCAGGAGCCATATACCTTCGTGTACCAACCTTGAAAGAAAGGAAAGCATCACAGTTTGTACACCAAGAGTCGGCATGACCACAATTACCACTCTAGCTGGTGCCAGTTCTAATAATACCGTAGACCAGTACTATTTTTTGTCAAAGATTAAAAATAGCCATGGTTATTCTTGCTTAGCACTAAGCCTTGGAAGTTGCTTCTATTCATATACCCAGTAGTAGGTAAGAGAAATTAGAAACAATCATATAGACTGGGCTCTATAAGGATTCTTATGAAGCACGAAAACCTGAATATATTTTAAAATAACACATTAGCATAACAACTCAACATATTTATCACTGCCATTCCTTATTTTCTTCCAGATTACAGGAAGGCCACTATTCTTATTTTTGCATGACAAAAGAATTTCTAGTGTTTCATGTAAGGATGGGAAACTTGCTTATGTTTCTTCCCATGACAGGAACAGTAATAAAAATACCAAAGGAAAACTAGCTACCCAAAATACAGTTTATACTGAGAAAGCTACATGAAATCACTTATACAAAACTGGCCATTAAATGAAAACTTTGGGGATCACAGTCAATTACAAAATTATGTCATTTGAACAAATCAGACCTTATGTGATGATGTCTGAACAAGAACTACTCCGCTAACTAAACCTTCACAGTAATGGTTATGTTTCTCTTACGCAGTGTTATTGAGGTTTTATAATCTTATTGTATGGATTTTATTCTTGTTGCTCAACCATAAACTGTGAAGTTCTGCCTAAAATTAAATATATTTAGCTTTCCAGAAACCGTAACGCTCTAAACTCAAGCTTGTGATTTTAAAGGTACGTGGTACTGAACCAGTTCCCTCTTGCATTACAAGCGCTTGATTAGTACTGTTGTCATTTCAGGAAAGTGGGTGCTGCTAGATCAGAAAGTTAGAAACTGGCTGCCAGTATTATTCCTCAGTTTCTGAACAGCATCTCAGAAAAATGAGTAAAATACAGCAAGACCACTCTTTCGTGTCCAAATCCTCTAATAAGAACGAAAATAAGGGGGGAAGAGCCCATGTAACGAGACTGGTGGGGCCTGTGATCTGTAATTATCTAAAGAATAGCTTACTTTTTAGCCCGCGAGGAAAAAGCACAAATTGCCACCTTCCTTAAAAGAGTGCCAAAAATAGGGTTGATGATATAGTATTCTGTGCATGAAGAATGCCTAAGCTATCGATTTCCATTCACATGCAGTTAAGAGTTATATCCTTCATGTAAATAAATTGGTATTTACCTGTCCATGTGTATCCCCTGCAGACTTTCCAGCCTCAAACTTTAAAGCTAGACCAAAATCAGCAATACAAGCTGTAAGATTATTTTTCAGCAGCACATTCTTGCTTTTGATGTCCCTTTCAAGTTAAGGAAAAAAAAATTGAAGTCTAGTACATGAAATACCATATAAAGCTAAAGAAGTAGTAACATAATAAAATGAAGAACACTATAATATGAAAGGGAAGAAAATTATAACAAAGCAGTCCATTTAAACAACAAAAGAATAATAATAAAACCTAGGAGTACACTTGTACACCTTTATTCTTATGGAAATACATAAGACCACAATTGGAACTACCATTTTATGCTTAGTTTCAAAATACACACAGATTTATAAGCATGTATGATACAGAAATAGGATGAAAATGTAGTTACCGCATCCTTTAATTACAAGTACATTTATTTTTTTTTAAATACTAGGAAGCAAAACACTGTTAGAAACAATCAAGATGCATTTTTTTCAAAGAGATACACGATTTCCTGCAGAATCAAAAGATAATGGACTCGACCTGGAGATTCTCATCTGTCCTGTGTGTACTTCTCCCTCTCCCCAATTTTACCATCAGTCAAGCAGTTTTGCTCATGAAATTCCAAATTCTAAGAATCTGTATTTCTGTTACTCTACGTGCCTATCTTATTTTGGTTACCACGGTAATTTAAGCTCCTTACTTCCATTAATAGTTTTCTATACCTACCTCACTTAAAAAAACCAGCAACTACACTCAGCAGTAGGTGTAACAACACTTAGAGTAAATGTTTCTGTCTGAAGACATTCGGGTACCACTTAAAGTTATGTATACAAGTATTAAAGTTGTTTCAAACAGCAATAATGTCATTTATTTCATATATTGCTTAGAGTACTTAAATGAATTCCTTTTTTATACAGTTAATTATTACATTAACCACAATTGCCTCACAAAGTTCTGTAAACCATCAGCTAGATTTTTTGCTTAGGCTGGGCAAAATTCTTCTTATGAGGCTCTTGGTAATTCTGGAAGGAAGGTTATCATGGAGTATTTATTTGAATACCTCCTACCTATCCATGTTTCATATGCTTTAGCTCAAAGTTCAGTAGTAACAACCACCTGAAAATATTTTACATATACTATACCTATGTGAGATGGCAGGTTTGTGTCCATCTTTTAGCCCTGGTATATCCTCGTGAAGATAAGCCAAGCCTCTAGCCATCGTTTGAGCGATGTGACATAGCTCATTCCAAGAAACCACGTTAGCCTTGAGAAAGTCTGTTAATGAACCCTGCAGAGCAAAAGAGAAAAACCAATTACAAGATCAATTTCACTCTCATCTACTCGTAAAGAAAACTTTGAGATGGCCTCCCATCATTAAAGAACACGACATGCCCATCTGCCCTTCTGTTTTCTGATAGATCATATAATTATACAGTGCACACACACAATCAACTGCTAGTTTAAACAACAAAAATTAACTTTTGCATCATCTCTAGTGCATGACTAGAATCAAGACGCATCTACACATCACCTCAACAAGCAAACAGCGCAATGAACTCAAGTTAAGTGGCACCCTTGCCCATGAACTGCACCTAACTGTCAAGTGTCAGAAATGGGAGCTAGACTTAAGATAGTTAAGCTCTTTATAAAGACAACCCTGCTTTTATGAGGGTGATTTATCATCTCCCAAGCACAGGAAATTAC